ACTTCACAATGGTTGAATTGTTTGAGGAAGTGGGGTGATATTGCTAACTGCACCCAGACCAAAGCAATCTTGTGTATGTCTTGGACTCCCCCACTGGCTGGCTTCTTAAAACTAAACTTTGATGGGAGCAGTCGGGGGAATCCTAGACAATCAGGGATTGGAGGTGCGTTTAGGGATGAAAGTGGGCTTGTCTCAGCCATGTTCTCCAGCCCAATTGGAGTGGGTGACTCTCTCAGGGCTGAAATCTTTGCAGTTATGGAAGGAGTTTAAAGAGCCAAGGAAATGAATATAAGAAAACTCATCATTGAAGGTGATTCAGAGGTGGTGGTAGGGTGGCTGAATAAAGAAAACAACAGATTATGGATGTACAGTAATGAGAGGAGGAAGTTTAGGTGGCTGGTTCAAGAGATGGAAGTTAAGATTAGCTGGGTGAAAAGATCAGCTAACTCTTTTGTGGATAGGTTAGCTAAGCAAGGAGTCGAAAGGGAGTCAATGTTTTGGGCACAAGTGTAATTTTCTCCATTGTGTTCTTGGGAGTGTTAAGCTCCAATTGGAAGATAAGTGAGTTTATCTTCCTCTCTGTAATTACTTTTGTGATTAAGTAATGAAATGTTGCTATTGATCAAAAAAATGGAGTGAGGAATTGAGGGTGTAAAATGGAAAGGAGTTTGGTTCCACAAAAAATTGAAAATGTTGGGGGCCAAAATAAAAGAGTGGAACAAAGATTGGTTTGGGAGAATAGAGGAGCATATGTCCAATTTACTTTCAAGCGTTGAGGCTTTGGATGAGAAGGAAACTCAAAGAGCAATTAATGAACAGGAGAGGGAGTTAAGATGGAAACTAAAAAAGGAATTGGAAGAAGTTCTCTATAGAGAGGAAATTTCTTGGAGGCAAAAGTCGAGGCATAAGTGGATCAAGGAAGGTGATGGGAATACCAAATACTTGCATGCACTAGCCAATGGGAGAGGAGAAACAATTCTGTAACCAAATTAGAAATTGATGGAGAAGTTTTCTCCTCTCAAGAAGAGATAGCAAGGATTTTTGTGGACCACTTCAAGTCAAGGTTGAGAGGACCTCTAAACATCAAAGAGAGGCTGGAAGGCTCGATGAGAGCATTTCAGGTTGGCTAGAAATGAGTTTTGAAGAAGAAGAAATCAAACAAGTGGTGTTCTCTATGGATAGATCAAAGGCACCAGGTCCGGATGGTTTCACTATGGCCTTTTACCAAGATTGTTGGGGAATAATTAAGGAGGATCTAGTTCAGGTTTTCAAGGAATTTGAAGAGAATATGTAATCAGTCTTGGAATAAATGCCACTTTCTTAGCTCTCATTCTGAAAAAGATTGATGGTGAACACCCAAAAGACTATAGGCCCATTAGCTTGGTGACTAGCGTCTATAAAATCTTGGCAAAGGTGCTATCCTTAAGGATCAAAGTGGTTTTACTGCCTCTCATTAGTCAAGCTCAAGGAGCCTTTGTACAAGGTAGGCAAATAACCAATCAAATTCTAATAGCAAATGAGTGTGTGGACGATATGAGGAAATTGGGGGGAGGGGGGGGTCAAGGCTTTGCTTGCAAATTGGACCTTGAGAAGGCGTACAATATGGTGGACTGGAGTTTCCTCTTGGAGATACTTTGGACTTGTGGGTTTGGGGAAAGATGGTGCTTGTAGATGATTGGCTGCTTCACTTCTGTTCATTATTACTTTGTGCTAGTGAATGGAGTGGTAAAGGATTTCCTTCCAACTTGCAGAGGGTTGAGACAAGGTTATCCTCTTTATCCTTTTCTTTTTACTTTGGTGTTAGATGTGTTGAGTAGATTGATATTAAAGGCAGATAGGGAGGGGGTAATAGATGGTTGGAAGATTGGAAGGAACAATGCCTTTGTAACTCATCTCTAGTTTGTAGATGATATTAGCATTTTTTTTTTGTGAAGGAAGCGAGTTGAGAAGAGTGTGAAACCTTAAGGACCTAATATTAGGCTTTGAAAGAGTTTCCAATCTAAATATCAATTTTGAAAAGAGTTGTGTAGTAGGGGTCAATCTGTCTAACAATGAAATTGAGTCTATTGCAAATTGCTTGGATTGCTCTATTTCTTCTTGGCCCTTGACTTATTTGGGTTTACCTTTGGGTGGGAATCATAGGGAAAGCAGATTTTGGTACCTAGTTGTTGAGAAATTTGAAAGAAAATTGTCAGCTTGGAAAAAGAATTATATCACTATGGGAGGAAGGGTAACCTTGATTAAGGCTATGCTTGCCAATTTAATAATCTACTATCTTTCTATGTTTAGGATCCTTGTAGGGAGGCTAGGAAATTAGAAAAATTGATGAGAGTTTTTCTTTGGGAACCAAGGGAAGAGAAAAAGATCACTTAGTTAATTAGGAAACAATTTGTCGGAGTAAAAAGGCAGGGGGTTTGGGATTAGGGAATTTGGTCCTAGAAAATGAAGCTTTATTGGGGAAGTGGCTATGGAGATGGCCTTTGGAAAGAGAAAGTTTGTGGCACAGGGTTGTGGTTAGTATTCATGGCTGTTCCGTCTCTGGTTGGGATGTTGGGGTATCTCATTGAGCTACCTAAACAACACCTTGGAAGGTAATACATGGCGCCCTCCCCAAATTCCTTCATTTTGTAATGTATGACACTTGTTCCGGAAATTTAGTTCTTTTTTGGGAAGACACTTGGGTGGGTAATCAACCTCTAAAAGACCTATTTCCTTCTCTTTATTCTCTTTCCCTTTATAAAAAGAAGGTTGTCTTTGTCTTTCTCCCCCCTCTTGTCTTACATTTATCCTTGAACTGGGACTTTGGTTTTTGTAGGGACTTAAGGGAGGTTGTGCTTGTTTGTGTTACTGAACTTCTATCCATTTTAGAGAGTATTTGTTTGGACCCCTCTTCTCTTGATAGAAGGGTGTGGACCCCTATCCCAAAAGGTTCCTTCACTTGTGCATCCTTTTTTTTTGAACAATAAAAACAAGATTTATATTAATGATTTAAAGATAGATATGAGAGGTGCAATATACACACATACATTGAGAGACAAACAAACTTGTCTCTCCCCCGCAATATTCACTTGTGCATCCTTTTTCAAATCCCTTTGTTCTAGTACTTCACTTGAGCCTTTCCCAGTGAAAGAAGTGTGGACAAAGCCTGTGCCCCCCGAAATTGCTGTTTTTTGCTGGGAAGTGTACCTTGGTGAGATTAATACTTTGGAGAACTTACAAAAGAAAAAGCCTTTCATATGTTTATCCCCAATCTGGTGTGTGTTGTGCAAAGCTCATAGTGAGGACTGTTACCACTTATTGGTTTCTTGTTCCTTTGCTGCAGCTCTCTAGGATTGGATGTTTGTTTTGTTTGGATGTAGGTGGAAGCAACCAGCAGAGATTAAATTATTATTCTCATTGGCTACCTTTGCTTGCCCAACAAAAGGAGGGAGGAGTATGTGGAGTTGTTTCAGAGCAGCCACCTTATGGACAATTTGGGAAGAAAGAAATGCTAGAATCTTCCAAGATAAGGAGAGGTCCTTTACAGAAGTGAAGGAATGTATCTTAACCAGGGCTATTCATTGGCTGAAATCCTTGGCTTCTTTTAAATCCTTTTCATTTGATGATATTTGGAGGAATTGGGCCAGAGTTGCACACACTTAGGTTAGGAAAACTAGAGCTGTAACAGTTTGGGTAACTCCTCCAGAAGGAGTTTTTAAACTAAATTTTGACAGAAGTAGTCGGGTAACCCAGGACTGTCTAACACTGGAGTATTGAAGAATGAGAATGGCAACATCATATTCTTATTCTCAGGCCCGGTAGGGATAGGGGACTACAGGAGTTGTGTTGTTGGCTGCAGTACAAGGAATTCAGATTGCTAATCAACTAGGAGTGGAGAACTTACTAATTGAAGGGGATTTTAAGGTGATTGTGGGCTAGCTGTCAAATCCAGACTTGGTTGTTTGGAGCTATACGGATCACATATAAAAAGTTAAATGTTTAACAAGGCAAATAACGTGTAGATATCAGTGGGTGGGTAGGGAGGCAAATGCTTTGGCTGATTATCTTGCTGAACAGGGGTCTACATTGGATTGGCTATTTTGGGCTGCCTTGTAATCTTTATTTCTGATCACTTGTAATGTTTAGGGGAGGCTGCATCTTGTGCCTCTCCAAGGGATCCTTGTAAAGTTTTATTACTCTTGATTAATGAAATCATTTTCAATTAAAAAAACAAAAGAATAATGTATGCTGTTGGGGACTGAATTTTTGTATTCTAGGAAGACAAAAGGGCTGTGTATGTGTATGATTGTGGGGTGGTTAGCTGGGCCTAACTACCATTCTTTGGGATCTTATCTCTCAGATGTATGAAATTTGAACCTGCGACTCTTTAGGACAGATGAATTCTTTAACAGCCATTAAGTAACACTGCCTTTCTTAACTATAGAAAGCTACAATATTCAAATTAATTTCATCAATAGATAATACATGCACATAAATGGATCAGATCATATTAGATTGGATAGGCAAGGATCCACATTTAATCCAATTATTGTATTTGGATAAATAGATAATGCTTGTAGTCCTACAAGCTGATGACCGCTGTTTTCCCTTTTAGGTTTTCATAGAAAGCTCTCCTTTATTTTCTATATTAGATTTACAACTATTTATCTACTAGTCCAGCATCATAGAGGAGTGAAAACCATTTGATTTACTGGCCATTTGCTAGTAAATGGCCTCAAACATCAACATGTCCAGGCTGCCCTTTGTTAGCAAATCTCTCATATATTAATATCTATCTCTACAGTTCATCCGACATTTATGTTTGTATTGCCATTTGCCAAATTCCTTGATTCTTATTCTTTGGGTGTAACCTGACACGGTATCCTCCATGTGCATGCCATATTCCTCCTACATAAAAGTGAAACATGTGGAGGATCATGAAATGAAATGGAACTGATTATCCGACTAATCATATGGGTTGGATATGATTATCCCAGTATTTTGTATTTGATTTTATTTAGATACATGGAGAAGAGATGTTAAAGCTGAAGAGGTTGAGGATGACATCAATAATGCAGAACCAGGAAAATTGAGAGTCATTTCCATTTCCAAGGTGATTCCGCAATCTTTTCTTTGCAATTCTTTTGGTTTTATTTTGAGATTTTAGGGAGAGCAGAAAAAGGTGCTTAAATCGTTCTAATTATACATGTGGTGATTACTTAAAATTGTTCAGCTGAAAATTTGATGTTTGGGAAAACTGCTCTTTGTTTCTGATTCCTGGTGGTGATAAACTGGCATTACTAATTTAAAGTGCCAAGTTTGACTTTTTTTGTCATATCGTTCTTTCTTGATTTTGATGTTTAGGTACTGATGGAGAATTGAGCCTGTTGTAGGTCTCACGTGTATTTCATCCTAACTTCTCGGCTAAATGGAGGCGCTACTTTTATATTTTCCCCTTCCTAGATGAAGAGGAGCATAACAATGAGATGGAGAAGGATACTGAGAATTGTATCTCTGATAAACAATATGGAGAACATAGGAGTAATGGGTGTCTTGAGGATACTGGAGAGGAAAATGGTGGATGCTCAACCTTTGATTACGAGGGTGAACTTGAAATTGGAGAGAAACCAAGAAAGTTCAGCATTAGCAGGGTTAACCAGCTTCTACTTCAACTAGAAGGAAAACTATTATCCTACAAGGTGTTCGCACGGGACACAAAAGCCTCAAGAAGCACGTAAGAACCAACATCTCTGTAGGTGTATATGCAATATGGTCACACAAACCTGCACACATGATATTCCACTTGCTTTAAAATCTTGTACAATTTCATATAAAACTGCACACCACGTGTATATGGTTTCATTCTCCTTCATGTGTGTTGATGTGCAGGTACTCTTACTCTTTGCATTTTTGGCATGAAATTTGGCTGACCCTAAAATTTGGCTTAAGGCCCGAGCCCGAGGTCAAGCCAGACCTTCCCAACCCGAGCCCAGTCTGCACTGTAAACCAACCTGAGGGCTTAGGTTGGGCTTAGGGGAGAAGAGGCTGGTTGGGTTTGGGCTACCTAAGGGCCAGGCACAAGCCTAGCCCAAAAAGTAAAAAATCCTGACTTCTTGGGCCCGAGCCTAGCCTGAGGACCAAAAATCCAAGCCCAACTCGTGTAAAATTTCGGGCATGGTCGGTTTGGGCTTGAGCTAGGCCCACCCAAGTTGTACCCCTATCTTGCACAAAAGAAAGGAAAAGGAGAGAGAAAAGGAGTTGAGGAAGAAGATTCGAACCAATCTCTTCTCCCCCATAAAAAATGCCCATGTTAAGTGATTCTTAACAAGGGAAATACAAGGCTATACCAAAAGACAAAAATGTCCCTCATGGGCATACATTTCAACGTTCTCCCTCAAGCTGGTGCATATATATTATAAAGCTCCAACTTGTTACAAATATAATCTATTCTAGTACAACACAAGCTCTTGGTAAACAATCTCACCATTTGTCACCTTTTCTCTTACAAAGTGACAATCAACTTCTATATGCTTGGTCCTCTCATGAAAGATTGGATTGGAAGCAATGAGTAGCAACCTGATTATCACAAAACAACTTGACAAGTTCCCCTATAGGAATGCCTATCTCTTGGAGTAGATGTTTCAACTACATTAACTCGAGTGGTATGAACAGTGATTTAAAAGGCACGCCTCAGGCGTGACTAGGCACACAGGCGAGGCGCATTTTAGGATATGCACCTAACATGGACTTGTTTGGGCTTGCCTTGAGGGGCGTGGCACAAAGGCGACTCATAGAGTTGAGAATATAATATGTTTTACATCACATTAGCTACTTGAAGTAATGCAATTGAGGAAAATGTTTTATATGTTTGATTTTATTTTTAAATTCTCATTTGAATTTTACATCACATTAGCTACTTCAAATTCTCATTTGAAGTAATGCAATTGAGGAAAATGTTTTATTTTACATCACATTAGCTACTTTAAGTTTATATTTTTTATTAATATTATACATTTTTTTTTATTTTTTAGCTTTTTTTTTTTAATTTTTGTGCCTTGCTTCAAAAAGGCGCACTCCTCGCCTTGCACCTTGCGCCTTGGGCACAAATTGGCCCCTGTGCCTTTTTTGCACATTACACTTTTAAAACATTGGGTATGAGCCATTGCTCTATACTGAGTTTCAACACTACCCCTGTGCCTTTTTTACACTTTGCTTTTTACATTTTCAAGTAATGAGATTGCCATACAAGAAACTATAGTACCCTGTAGTAGATCTCCTATCCATTTAGGAACTTGCCCGGTTTGTATCGGAATATCTTTTTAAGGTTAGCTTTCCACCATTCTTGTATAGTAATCCTCGGCCCGGAGCACCTTTTAGATATTTTAACTCTTACAACACCTTCCCAGTGGGTGATTGTGGGATTTTGCATAAACTGACCCAGAATTCCAACGCTAAAGGCAATATTAGGACAGGTGATTGTGAGATAGATCAAGTTGCCAACTAATCTTCTATACCTTCAAGGATCACTGAATGGCTCCCCCTAACTATTAATTATTCACATTAGGATCCATAGGGGTCTTAACTGGTGTAGCCTATTGGACTTGTCTCATCCAACAAATCCAAGACATTGTGACAAAGGTATTCCCCACTTTGAGCGGGCTACTTCAATACCCAAGAAATACTTCAAGGATCCTAAATCCTTGGTTTGGAAGTGTTGTTGCAAAAACTGTTTTAAATCATTAGTCCCACCAACATCATTGCCAATAATGACTATATCATCAACATACACTACCAAAATAATATTCCCAAATGTAGTATCCCTACTAAAAACTGAATGATCAACTCCACACCATGGTTTTCAAGGCGCCAAGGCAAGGCTGGGCAATGGGGGGGGGCCTTGTCGCTTAGTCACCTAGGTGTCGCCTAGCGATGGATTTTTTCTGTACCATAACCATATTTCCTTAATAACTATTCATAAATTTCAAAAGAAAAGTATAAAGTTCATATTAAAGTATAGAAAATCAACATATTTATGAGAAGGAAAATAAAACTAAAAAAATTATAGGGGCTGAACCCTTACTTTTGTTATAGGAAAAGAAGAAAATAAAAAGTATTGGTAGTGGTAGTAGTAGAAGAAGTAGAAGAATATATGGAAGAAGAAAATGTGCTGATTAAATAAAATATTACGTTCTTCCTTACTGGTTCAGGTTTTGAAGTCGTTGAGAGTTCAATACAGCATTTAGCAATGCTTGTGTTGATTAAACCCTAATAAATATGAAAATAATAAAAAGAAATTAGAATATAAACTCACACAATGATTATTTTAGTTTAACAATGTCTATTTTATGATTATAATCTCAAAAAAGAATAAACAAAAAAGTATTTTATAGTTGTAGAGAAGATGGGCCAAATGGCCCATAGGCTGTTTATCTTTTATGTTCTTTGCTGTAATGGGCCTTAATCTGAGCTTTATTGTTTCTTATGTTATGTTTTTTAATTTGCTGCCCAACTAGGGGCCTCTCTATAAATTACTAAAGTTTAACTTAATGAAATAGAATTAAGGGAGTAAGAGAGGAGATTATGTTCAAAAATCTCTCTTTGAACCCTAGTTGTCGCCCCCTTCTTCTTCTTTTTCTTCTCTCTTGAAATCTGATTTCTGCTACTTTTGAATTTTTGCAACTTTCTAAACAGTCCTTTCTTCTCAAAAGGCTGTTTTTCTTTTAGGTATTAGAGCAGGCTCGTTTTTCCCTCTTTTCACCTCTTTTTTCCCGTACACAGTGTGTATGGAGAACTAAATCGTATGAATAGTTAAAGAAACCTATTTCAACCCAGTTAGTAGTGGTTTCTAGAGAGAAGGGGACTAGTTTTGTCGTCCTCTTGACAGATTCAAGTGTGCTGCCCGAAACCCTAATTTTCTAGAGAAATCTGATTGCGGGCCCCATAGGGAGTTTGACTTAGGCGCTCAGTGACTGAAGGCCTTTTCATCCTTCTTGAAGATCGAATCAAGTGGATTGGCGTTTTGTGAAGTCTACAAGGAGCGACCGAGTTTTCTCTGTTTTTCCCGACTTCCGAGTGTGACGCAGGTTGCTGGTACAACTGCATAGAGGTTGGCTCACAACACAACTTTTGTTCTGTCTTCATTTGTTGTTATTCAAAGTTAGAAGTCATTTTCGAAGTATTTAAGAAGATGAACTCATAATTTGAAAACAAGCATGTTGCTGAATCCGGATAGGTTTTGGGAGCCTCTGTAGACTCTCTACTAGTTGTGACCACAGTCAAACTAGATGGAACTAATTATCTGGCTTGGTCACAATCAGTAAAAATTCATATCTGTAGTCGAGGCAAATGGGGTTTTATCTTTGGGAGCAAAAAGGCTCCTCCGGAAGATGATCCATCATATGAAAAGTGGATGCAAGAAAATTATACTATTATTGGATGGCTTGTGAACCCAATGCAACGACAGATTAGTTAGCACTATTTGTGGATGAATTATAAACACATAAAATGAATATTCTAGTTTAATAAAGTCTATTTTATAATTATAATGTCAAAAAATTAAAATATAAGTATTTTATAACACAGTGCACAAAACTGCTTGGCAACTGGGCGAGGTGAGCCTCCAAGGGCACCTTGTCGCCTAAGCGTCACCTTGACAACTATGGTTGTGTTCAGGGCCCAAACCATGGACAAAAGAAAGCACATTCGAAAACACGAGGAGGGAGAGAAAAGAGGGATCTTGAAGGGAACATGATAGAAAAGGGCGAATCACTAGTAAAGACAGATGTAGGCATGCGATTGATCAAGAATCATGAAGTGAGAATAACATCACTCCAGTAGGCTTTAGGAGCGTACAATTGGAGTAATGTACGGACTGTCTCAGTAATGCGTCAATTCTTTCGTTCGGCTACACCATTTTGCTGTGGAGTGTGGGAACAAGATAGCTTGTATAATACCGTGAGTGTCAAAATAAGCTTGAAAGGAACTATGAAAGTACTTTTTTGCATTATTAGAATGAAATGATTTAATACAAACACTAAACTAATTGAGAATTTTAGCATGAAAGGAAAGAAAAATAGAGAGCAATTCTGAATGTTCTTTCATTAAATATATCCATATCATTCGTGAATGATTTTTTTTTTTGATAGGAAATAGTAACTTTTATTAATTATGAGAATTATAGAATTACAACTGCCACCTTCAAAAAGGTGACCCCTCAAAGGATAAGCAAATTATAAGCATGCCCAAAATAAAGTCTCCCTATTGACCCCTTGCTTTGCTAAAATATTCGCGAATGATCATTAATAAAAGTTACAAAATATTGAAATCCATTGTACGGTGACACAACTAGGACCCTAAACATTTGAGTGAACAAGATCAAAAGGACTCATGACTATTATCTTCATAGGGAACAAAAGTAACTCTATGATCCTTACTAAGTTGACATGATTCACGATCCAACGGGCTGGGCCGGCCCGACCCCCGGACGGGTTTGTACATAGTTATTAGCCCGCGGGCTTGACCTCGGGCCTGAAAGCCCGCGGCCCGATTGTTTTACGGGCCGGGCTCGAGATTTGTCACAAAAGCCCAACCCGACTTTTATATTTATATAGCTTTTAAACCCTAAATTCCTAAACCGTACCCTTCTCATATTTCATTCTCTCACTCTCAAAAGAGAGTAAGATTGTTTGTCGTTTGAGTGTTGACGAGTGGAGTGACCAGGTCCTCTCTTCTCTCTCTCTCTCTCTCGTTTTCTTACTCTCTCTCATAGAAGTCGAACAAGTTTCTCTCTGTTCCTCTCTCTCTCTGTCTCTTTCTCAGTCTCTCTCTCTATTCTGTAAGTCGGTTCCTCTCTCCCTGTCTCTCCCGGGCTTTGGGCTCGGGCCCAGGCTTCGGGCCCAAGTTGTAGGCCTGTTGGTCAGGCCGGGCTCGGGCTCAGGCCTACAAAATTCTGTTAATGCAGAGTGAAAGCCCGACCCGAGCCTGGCCCGGCCCGGCCCATGAATAGGTCTAATGCTAAACTAGAAACTAACTTCTTCAAAATATGAAGTGAAGGATGACCGAAGTGGCACTAGTGAGGAGTAAGAGATAAGTGAAGAGCTCTTGGTGGACCATTGACATCTAGGTAGTACAGCCGTCCAATTTCATGACCTCCACCAATCATCTTCCCCATCGTAAGATCCTGAAAAACACAATAAGAATGAAAGAAAGTGACTGAACAGTTTAATGACTTTGTGAGTTTACTACAGACAAGAGACTAAAAGGAAACTGTGGAATGTAAAAGACAATTAAGACTAATATCAGATTCAAGGGAAATATTACCAGTACCATTAATAGGAGAAGTGCCATCAACTAAGGTAACTATTTGGGTAGTGGAAGGAGGAGGCAAAGACTTAAAAAGATTTGAAGATCCAGTCATATGATTTGAAGCTCCAAAATCAATTACCCATGGTGAATGGCTAGAACTGGAAACTAAACAAGCTGTATCTGACTTAGCAAGAATGGCAATGGACTTGGAAGGCACGGAAGAAGCTTGGTGAAGTCTCTCATATTCCTTACGAGTGATGAAGACCAACTCATTACTCTTACCAACTCTTGTGGCAGGCAACTCACCAGTGAAGTCATTAATTCCAGAATCATCCTCAACTATGACACAATTGGCTCATGAAGATGGTGGACCATGCAAGTCATAACTCATAATAGAAGGCAATAGTGTGCACAACCA